TTTTGCAGAAACTGTAATAGATAGAGAGAAACTTTAATTGACATGTTTAGATATGCATTAATATACATTAAACTGCCAAACACATGCCAAACAATCACTGATACAAGATCTACACAAAAAAATCCAGATTGGCTATTCAGGCCATTAGGAGCTTTTTGATCAAGATGAGGAGAACCAATGTGGTTTTAAATATGATTGAGGGAAATTCGGTAAAATTTTAGCATATAGCAGTTTTAACCCAGAGTATACAAATATGTTATATTGGAAGTGCTTTACTGAAAAAAAAGTTATTCTTAAATAATGAATACTTGCACCAAAGCTGTTTTTGAGGGAATTTTTAAGTTACGTACTAATGTAAAGTTTTGTAAGCATGAGTTCTGCATTTGATTGTAACAGTGATTTATCACTTATCTCTTATGAACATTCTAGAATCATTTATTAAACATTTTTCAATTTCAATAGACAAATGAAAATTGGATTCCATATTCAACCACTTACTATGATTTGTAAGCAGATTCTCAGCAAATAAGAAATAATATTATTCTCAGGACCAAACTAGTACATATAATCTACTTAATAACAGAAAGAAAAATGATAAGCATAAAAAAAGTGAAAACTACAAAGAACTGAAAAACAAGTGTAAAGAATTATTTTTCTACACTTCAAATATATTGGCATTTTTCGTACAATTATTACAATAATGCTTGGCATTCCTTCTTTGAAGGTCCAAATATCCTGCATTCTTTGCATCTTCTGAAAATGAGATGTTTTTTTGGTTCAATTCTTCATTCTTGAACAAAAATCCTTGTTTATCAGTAATTCAACTAAAGAGGCAGTTCTGCTCCATTTTTCAATTGTCCAAAATGCTTATTGGAATGAACTAGATATTGTTTGATGAAGTTATAAAGTCTACAATTTGCCACGAACAAGTTGCTGTTGTCTTACAATTGAAACAATTATGTTTATAAAGGCCATTGACCATCACATAGCTGTTCCTTATATCATTGTCTATCTGCAACATTAATTATCAGGGAAACAAGCATATGATTGGCACATTTACAAATACACAACAACTTTAGGTGCTACTAAACAGTGTGACCTGGAAGCAGGTCAGGTAAGGTCAGCAACCTGATTATTCTAAGGTAATTTACTTCTGGTGTAGGCTCAATTGATTCATATTTTCTAGTATTTAAAACCAGTTAATTGTATATCATTTGAAATTAAAGAGGAGTAATATAGTTAGTATATGTCACATGGTTGCTTGATATCCAAAGCCAACCATCTTTTGTACAGGGGGTTAATTCCTTGTACAAATCTTTGATTTGAAAGTTTGTAAAAGTTGACACCTATGCCTGTAATGTTTTGACGATTTGTTAGATGAAAACCATTATAAAAAATTTTTGTGTGCAGTTTTATCAGATATTTAGCTTATTGATCTCAATTAAATGCATGATTTCACTTTTTGTAGATAAAAAAGAGAGAAAAAAAGATTATAAAAGTGGGAGGTGGGAGATAGGGGGCGGGAGGTGGGAGAAGGGTACCCCCCTGTCCACCCCTCTATTATACCTCCAGATTAGGAGGGAGGAATTTAGTATTTTGAGTTTAATTTTTTATCTCTTTGTTGCACTATTTTAAAGGTTCTAGTCATTATATGATTGATGATATATTGAATGAATGAATAAGGTGAGAATGTCAAGGTCACAAACTCAATTTTGCTCTCAGTACTACTCTCATTTTCCTTTGAGGAACATGAAGGAATTTCAGAGAATTCTTGGTCCAAGCAAATGAGCAACACATGTCAGGATATTAAAATGAGTAACATCTCTTTTAAAGCAAAAGGCCAAGGACACATGTGCAGCTTTGATTTTGAATCAGGATACTTGGAAGGTTAATCTCTGAATTAATGTCTCCATAGTCTCATATTGACCTATATCAATACAATAATTAATGACAATCATTGGTGATGATGATTTAATCCTAATTTCCCTGGTGGTATAATATACATATATAATGACTTGTCTGTATCACATCCTCAGTCTAGATGTATTTGTACATGGTTACAATTCCCACTGGAAGTATTCTCCTGTTGCAGGACTGTTGCCTACATTATCTGGTTCTCAAGTTTAATGATGGGATTAATATTATCCATTACTCTCAGATCACGATTTTAAACAATATTGCATAATTTCACGAAGCTGTCAAGCATATAATTAATATTTCTTAAAGTTCTTGGTCATATTAGGTTAATGCTGAAAAAGGCCAATAGATATAAAGGCAACACATAATTAATAATTCTAATAGTTCTTGATTATCTATGAAAAGTTCTTACTAATAGATATGGCAGGCAACACATTCATCAGTTATGTGTATTGTCAAAATTGTAGTTGTTTTTGTCAGATTTGGAACAAGTGGAGATGATGATATGTGTAGTTGTTCCTGACGTTTGACTTGATCCTGACGTCATCTGTTCTTGGACTTAAAAGTACATTTGATTTAGTATGAAATCAATTTTCTATGGAAATTTAGAAACAAGATTATAATTCCTGAGCACTAGCAGACTCAAGATGTTGATTTAATATCTTAAAATAAATTTACATCACAAAATATAGTGATTTTTATACAGAAATATAACTGTAGTATTTTAACCCAGTTTATTAGCTGGAATGTTTCCTTTGGTATTACATGACTCCCACTAAAACATCAGATTAGTACTTAATTATTGATGAACAAAGTTTCATTCTTGTCAATTTATAAATTGATCTGTTTCCAGTGTGTGATAACAACACTGAATTTGTAAAGAATTGCTAAGGAGACTTAGTGATGGCTGTAGCTATATTTCACACTGTGGTTTATGTAATTACATTATGAACACTTGAATAGGATAAAATTAAAAATGAAATGTCTCATTTATAAAAGGAATTCTGCATAAAATTGTTTAGCACAAATCAAGGCAATGTGTATAACACAAATTATAACAGATATTGTTCCATTTTTCATTTATGACAACACTGACTGTGACTGGTGGCCAGATTATTACTTGCTATGATCACTAAGATGGGTGCTACTGGTGGAACAGACTTCTTACCTTTCTGAGTTCACACCAAGGTTTAGTGGGAATACCGTTGTCTTCAGTTTACTGTTTAGTGTTTTATGGACCTTTGTTCATTTGTTTGACCTTTACTTTAGGTCATGGTCAGTGCACCATATTTCTTTGACCTTTACTTTAGGTCATGGTCAGTGCACCATGTTTCTTTGACCTTTACTTTAGGTCATGGTCAGTGCTCCATGTTTCTTGGACTTGTTTATGATTTGCCCCCTTGGTATCTAATATCTGCTGGTTTATTTTGATTAAGACAATAATCTCTGAAATACTTCATATTTAAAAAAAAATAAGTTGTATGAAGCATTATTAGTAATGTATGATAAAAGAGAAAGTTACATCCAAATTTTCAACTATATCACAGTTGTTTTTCTTATGAAACTCCATTCATCTGAAAACATTAATTGCTTAAAATTGTCATTTGATGTTTTGAATTGTAAAGAATCATTGTATCCTTTGTTTTGTATATTTCATTGGTATGTTTTCTGTTGTCTATGGATTTGCAGTTTTTGTCACTGTTATAAATTTACCTAAATTTGTCACTTTGGTCATCTGCAGAAATAAAAACTAAGATGTATCCAATTTTTTGAACATTTTTCAATATTTTGTTGGTTTTTTTGGGGGGGGGATTATAATCCCGTTTAGGCTTATTTATTTGTTGAATTACTTTAGGTCCCTACCCTTTTTGAAAATCCAGGATTCATTACTAAAAAGGTTAAATGTACTACAAATAAAAGTTATTCCTATAACGATAATGATCAACTACAAAGAATAAACATGATTAAAGTGGTAGTTATAGAATTATCATATTTGCAGCTGCTTTTGTTTTTTTCTGGTTATAACTGTGTTCTGTAATTTACCACAAAGATACTCCTGCCTGTTAAAACAATAAAGATGATTGAAGATTTCTTTACATTGTGAGATTAAATTAAAAAGATTACTTTGATTTTGTATGTTTTTGAACATTTGTATAGTTTTTATAATAAATATTTTTGTTGGTGAGATTTCATCTTTTATAGAGGATTGGGCTATGATGTTCTGCAAAGATTGCAATATATAACTTGCACAGAACTTAACAATAGAGGGGACATGATGATTTTCTTACAGCAGCTCAGGAATGGCTTAAAGTAATCTCAAAGCAATGATTTTAGAAATACAGAATTTTACATGATATAGTTTATTATCTTTTCTACAAGCAAGGCAAAAGATACCAAAGATATATTAAAACTCATATGTCAAAGACAAACTAACAACACCATGTCAAAAACAAAAAAAAATACTAAAAGACGAACAACAGTCTACAAGACACAACAACAACAAAATAATGACTGAGCAACACGAACCTCGCCAAAAACAAGGCCTGCTTCACATGTGACATCATAATTGTTTAATTTTGCTATACATTTTTGTTGTTTCCCACTTACCATCTTATATATTTATCAATTAAGTTTGTTTTGTTTACGAACTTGAAATTCAATATTACTAAATTTAACATTTGTAATACCTTTGATATATAGAAGAAAATAAAAGTGTTTGAAGTAGTAAAAAATGTTGGATCATGCTTACTTAACCACTTTAAATATTCCCTGACAAATTTGAATATTTATTCTGGTTTATGGTCAACACACCTGTTACAAGACACATACCCTTCTGATCTACTAATGTTAAGTAATAATGCCTGAGTTAACTGCACACAAACTTACCAGTGTATACATTTCACATCACAGCTGATTATGTGCTGTAACAGTTATTGACATTCTCCAGGGATCTTTCTATTGTAGTAAACTAAGGCAGATCTTTCTTATTACAGAGATTCAGTCTGCAGGGACTATTCATTGTCGTGTATTAGGGATATATCATTGCATTTATTTATCGAGTGATGAGTTTTTCTTGTTTGTAGATCTTTGAAGTGGTGGTGAAAGAAGGATGGATGTGTGTAAAGTGTGGACTTGATTATTCTTTATTAAGGTGAGTAAATTGTTAATTAGTGTGGAGCTGGAATGTATGCTAGTTTTTCATCTGTCACATCAGAAGTTGTAAGATGAACCAGAACAGGAAAGGTATAATGACATATTTATTGATCTTAAAGGGATTTTGTTCTTTCCAAATCAGGTACCAGTTTTGCTTATACTGACCAATTGAAATCACTGTTGTAGCTTATGGTAGGAACAATCCTTGTTTATGATCAATTTTTGAGTAAGACATGTCATCTGTATTTCAATACCATATCTTTGTGCCTTCAAAAAAAGTACGTGGAAATATTTTTTTCCAGTCTGTGGGTCAATCTTCCATCAGTTTTGTCTGTCGTTCTGTTCATTTCTCAATTCTTTTTTGTCGATTGAGTTCAATAATTAGAAAAATCTGAAAAGGGAGACCATAGTTTAAAGAGAGAACTTGTAAATAATGCTCCATATTCTTTTCATTTTTAATCAGCTTTCTTCAAACATTTATGAAAAAAAAAAATTTGGGATGAATCTGAAAAGCACAAAAATCTCAATTTTGAGAACTGTTTTTGGGAAGAAGCACAGGTGTGTGAGCTTGGCCTCCTAACATCCTTTCATTTGAAGTATGTTTGAAGCATCTGCAGGTGTGAGAGCTTGGTCTCCTAACATCCTTTCATTTTAACTAGAATAAACGATTTGAAAACGTTCCTCAGTAAGGTGTACCTGCATTATTTAATAGGTAGCAAACATTGTAAGAAAAACAGAATAGTCTTACATGACAGATTCACACTGCCTGTGTCTTGTAACAGATAACAGTAGGTGGATAGAATTAATCTTTGGGTAATGGATTGAATAACTACAACTTGTTTGTATTAATATGTTAAGATTTAAATGAAATGGCAGAAATTTATGGGAAATGTCAAGAACTGACTTCATTTTGTTTGTGTGAATGTAAATTATTCCGTTTCTGAATACTTAATTTTCTGATGGATAATCTTATTAACAGTTTGTAATAGACAATATCCTGAAAGTGAACATGACAAGAAGAACAAAAGAGAATTACATGTAATATTCTACTATGCTCATTTAGCAGATTGCCGTCCTTTGAGTTTATGCAGACATGTGCAGCTGTAGCACTTAATTTGATATCCTAAAATTGGAGAAAAAGTAAACAACTTCTTATTGATTTGAAATTTCTTCTGTTAAATTTCTGTAATTGTTCTGTCTGTGATTGTTACAGCTATCAGTTTTATTTCCCGTTTTTAATTTGAATTTAATTTGAAACCAAATTATGAAACTACAATTATCTCTGCTTTTCCACTTTTGTTCAGAACAATTGCAAACTTGATAAAGCTATCTGTTTAATGCATCAGTACACTTTGAATTTTATTGCTTTTGATTTTAAAGACCTTTGCCTCTTGGCCAAAGGAAAAAACTTTCAATTAACTGTATGATAGTTATTGGAGCAAGACATTTCTCTGTTCATAAATGGCACCAAATTTTTACTCAAAATTTTATTCATTTTGTGTAGAAAATCAAATGAAAAAAATTGTTTTTCAAAATGTGGGAAAATGTAAATTTATTTTCCAAATACATGGTGATAATGTGAGAAAATTCAATCTATTTGTATGTATCTAAGTGGGTAAATTGTCACTGTTATTCTGTGTTTAGCATTGATTGATTTAGTTATTGTGATGTCAGCATCAATTTACATCAAATAAGAACTCCAGCAGCCTGCCGATTGCACATATAAGACATCCACAGTAGTATAATATGGCATTTTTATTGCTTTACTTTGAGAAAACCTTTGTTATTCTATTCCCAGAGTAAAATACCTTTGGAAAAGCTCCAGATTATATCTGTGGTCATTAATATAATGATGAAAAATTCTAGAAAATTCATCCAAGTAATTAAACAGAGAAAGTAACTTATTTGTTAATATAGCAGAATTAGTTTACAAAATCTTATGTAAACATTTACACAGGAATTAATTAATCCATATTTAATTTTTTTCTTTTTCTTCTGGTATAAATATGATGAAGCAGAGTGCCAAAAGCTTGATAAATCAAATAAAAGTCAAATGTAAAGAAGATCAGGGTACCAAAGCTTTAAACAATAATAGTGACAGAGACTCTTAAGTCTGCATCCATGGTCTAATCACAATGCTTGCTAGAACAAGGTCAAGGACAAAATATTGACAGAGACTCTTAAGCCTGCATCGATGGTCTAATCACAATTCCAGTTATAACAAGGTCAAGGACACAATAGTGACAGAGACTCTTAAGCTTGCATCCATGGTCTTAACACTGCCAGCTAGAACAAGGTCAAGGACACAACAGTGACAGAGACTCTTAAGCCTGCATCCATGGTCTAATCACAATGCCAGCTATAACAAGGTCAAGGACACAATAGTGACACAGACTCTTAAGCTTGCATCCATGGTCTTAACACTGCCGGCTAGAACAAGGTCAAGGACACAATAGTGACAGAGACACATAAGCCTGCATTCATGGTCTAAACACAATACCTGCTAGGACAAGGTCACAACTGTTATTCAAATACAATACATAATCTGTAAAAACTTTTAATTATTTGAAACTATCAGTCAATGTTAAAAAAGAATGGAAATAAAACACATGAGAACAAAACAACATAGATGCAACTAAAGATTGTACCATAATTTACCATGATACAAAATTGTTCCAAACCAATCATGTGATCAAATTTTGTTTATCATACTTCACAATTATCAAAAGATGTGTACCATACATTGCAAGTATACCATACTTCACAGATACATCAAAGGTTGAACAATACTTCACAAATACTTCACAAATTGTAAGACACTTCAAAAATACTTAAAAATTTGAATGACACTTCACAAATTATCAAAATTTGTGCCATACTTCACAAATGGTAAAAAATTGTACCACACTTCGCAAATTATCAAAAATTGTACCATATTTCACAAAAGATAAAAAATTGTCTTCACAAATGATCAAAAATTGTACCATACTTGGTCTCTGATGGAAATTTTCCTCATTGGTATTCATACCACATTTCAGAAAATCATAATGGGTAGAATGTTATAGATCCTTCTATAGAAAAAATTGAGGTTCATAGAGCTGTGGGGAATCCAGGAATTTCCATAAAGGGACCTTGGAGAAAATCAGGTGGAGGGGGCAGCAGTTCAAAATAAGTAAAATGAATTTAAAAAGTTTATACACCATAAAATCAACTGCCTTTTTGTTTTGTAAAGTACAAATTGTAATGTTCTATTTGAAAAAGAGAAAAGGTGTGATCATTAAACTACAAAGTGTTAAAATGAGAGTCGTCAGACCTGTTGAATTTATTTACAAACAGCTTTTGCCATCAGGGAATTTATTGCTATTATTCAGTTTGATAATTTGTTGAAATCGATCAAAATTGTTTTAGTAATTACTCCAAGGATTATCATTGTTTAAGTACTTGCTTATTTTATAGTGAACACAACTTGATTTGTAAGTGACAACAGAATTGATTTTACTATTTAACTTGTAAATTTGATGGTAATTTTCAGTTTTTATCCTTATATGAAAATGGTATTGTTTTCTTGGGCTTTTACATTTAAAGTCTTTGAGTGGTACCAGGTAAAAATTAACACAGAAAGTGTTATGTAGACAATCAGTATTTGTTATATTCCCCCACAGTGATTATGTCTGAGCATGAACAAACTTTAAGGAATTAATGTTATTTTCATGGAAGGATATTTGTTTTGTTTTATTGTGAAAGAATTGAAACTTTTCCACAGAATCATTTGCAGTTTACCTGTCGATTTAAACTTTTGTGAGTTCTTTTGTACCTTGTATAAATACAATAGCTATTGCTCTCTGGAGTTTGTTCACTGGGACCTTTAAATTCCTTCTAAGAGAAAGCCATCACTCATTGATTAATTAACCTGGAGAAAAAATTATCTTCTAAGTAGATGAAAAAACATGTATCATCTCACAAAACTGCATGTGGTGTTGTATTTATTCAATATCAATAATATATTTTCAATATTACATGCATATTGAGGACCATAACATGTTACACCACAAGACTGACATTCCATGCTAACTCACAAGGTAACCGTCAACAGGAAAACATGTCACACCACTAGACTGACATTCCATGCTAACTCACAAGGTAACCGTCAACAGGAAAACATGTCACACCACTAGACTGACATTCCATGCTAACTCACAAGGTAACTGTCAACAGGAAAACATGTCACACCACTAAACTGACATTCCATGCTAACTCACAAGGTAACCGTCAACAGGAAAACATGTCACACCACTAGACTGACACTCCATGCTAACTCACAAGGTAACTGTCAACAGGAAAACATGTCACACCACTAGACTGACATTCCATGCTAACTCACAAGGTAACCATCAACAGGAAAACATGTCACACCACTAGACTGACATTCCATGCTAACTCACAAGGTAACCGTCAACAGGAAAACATGTCACACCACTAAACTGACATTCCATGCTAACTCACAAGGTAACCGTCAACAGGAAAACATGTCACACCACTAGACTGACATTCCATGCTAACTCACAAGGTAACCGTCAACAGGAAAACATGTCACCCTATACAAACTATGCCTCTGTCCAAAACAGTATTTGTTCTTATCCTTAATACTGCGTGCAATTGTAGATTGATATTTCAGTGTATTATGACCCATTAAATTGCATCAAAGACTTTTTAGGTGGTTCCCTGATGTCAGTTATATCATGACTTGATTTACAGTTCCGTGAATTTTACTCAACATCTTGATTTTAACATCTGCAGACTATGACTTTTAACATCTGCAGACTATGACTTTTAACATCTGCAGACTATGACATTAGGACAAAAGACCCAACTATATGACCCAATAGATTTACTTGTCTTCAAACATCAATATCTCTGGACTCTTATAGATGAGAAACATTTGAATTTTAACACATATATCCCTAGTGAGAACACTATGTTACCATGCTGTCTACACTATACAAATGTCACAGTTTTTCTATTGATCCAAGGCATGGCTATTTATTATGAAACTGCAAAAAAATATCACAATGGTAATATATCTTAATTTAATAAGTTGTAAAGAATCTTCAATACTTTGTTTTTTTTATACATTTAAAAAAATGGATTTGACTGGATTTTCCAAAATTCTTCTTTTATTTGAATAATGCTGTTTTATGCATAATATATTATAGTATATTCAGCTATTCATTTGAGGTCCCTTTCGGTTATAAGTTCCTCAGCTATTCATTTGAGGTCCCTTTTGGTTATAAGTTCCTCAGCTATTCATTTGAGGTCCCTTTTGGTTATAAGTTCCTCAGCTATTCATTTGAGGTCCCTTTTGGTTATAAGTTCCTCAGCTATTCATTTGAGGTCCCTTATGGTTATAAGTTCCTCAGCTATTCATTTGAGGTCCCTTACGGTTATAAGTTCCTCAGCTATTCAAGAAGTTATACATCCTTGGCTTTCAAATTTTTGATTTTGAGTGTGCCTGATGAATGTAAATCCAGAAAAGCCCTTTACAAAGTGTTATTTTCATATCAGAAGTATTTTTAGGCCGTACCATATTTTACCAAAATTAAATTTTTGTTTAAGACAAATTGTAGTAAAATATGTTTTAGGGTAAGGCTCATATCTTAATATTAATGACAAGAGTTCAAAGTGAGGCCATTTTGGCAGATTTTGCAGTTATGCATAAATGCAACAAGTTAAAGGCCCTTAAAAGCTATATTGAGATTGTCTGATGTGCCTTACATGCCAAAACTGCACAATGTTGTACCTTACATGCCAAAACAGCACAATGTCGTACCTTACATGCCAAAAAATCACAATGCTGTGCCTTACATGCCAAAACAGCACAATGTTGTACCTTACATGCCAAAAATCACAATGCTGTGCCTTACATGCCAAAACAGCACAATGTTGTACCTTACATGCCAAAAATCACAATGCTGTGCCTTACATGCCAAAACAGCACAATGCTGTACCTTACATGCCAAAAATCACAATGCTGTGCCTTACATGCCAAAACAGCACAATGTTGTACCTTACATGCCAAAAATCACAATGCTGTGCCTTACATGCCAAAACAGCACAATGTTGTACCTTACATGCCAAAAATCACAATGCTGTGCCTTACATGCCAAAACAGCACAATGTTGTACCTTACATGCCAAAAATCACAATGCTGTGCCTTACATGCCAAAACAGCACAATGTTGTACCTTACATGCCAAAAATCACAATGCTGTGCCTTACATGCCAAAAATCACAATGCTGTACCTTACATGCCAAAAATCACAATGCTGTGCCTTACATGCCAAACAGCACAATGTTGCACCCTTAAAAATAAGAAGACATGGTATGATTGTTGCATGCCAAAAAAGCACAAGGTTATATATACCTCACATGCCAAAAAGCCAAATGTTGTGCCGCACATGCCAAAAAGTACAATGTTACACCTCACATGCCAAAAAGCACAATGCTGTACCTTACTTGCCAAAAAGCACAATGTTGTGTGCTCACAGCTAATTTTAAATATCTGTAAGGGAAATCTGATAATAATATTTAAGAGATTTTACTTATGTGGTTTGATGACATATTTATTACCACAAAACACAGATCAAGTTTGAATTTTGGTGGCGTCACTTTAACCGTTCTAGAGTTATGCCCCTTTACAAATGGAAAAATTGCTGAATTTTTCGTTTCCGTTCTCTAACTGTTCTCTAACCAAATGTTATGAAACTTATACACAATGCTTATTACCACAAAACACAGATCAAGTTTGAATTTTGGTGGTGTCACAGTACTCACTATTTCTGTTCTAGAGTTATGCCCCGTTACAAACGAAAAAATTGCTGAATTTCTCTGACTTATGTTTGCCTCAACCAAATGTTATGAAACTTATGCACAATACTTATTACCACAAAACTCATATCAAGTAAAAATTTGGGTAGTGTCACTTTTACCGTTCTTCAGTTATAGCCCTTTATAACTTTATATGATATGCAAGCGGGGGCATCATCTGTGTCCCATGGACACATTCCCCATTTATTTTTGTTCTGTTTCAGTGCTTCTACAGCATTAGGACAAATGTAAATTGTTGCATTACAGAAGGTAGTGAGTGATATGTTATGATGAAGTATTATTATACATCTTACCCTTTCATCATTCACCTGTCCAGATTAATTGGGTGTCTATTCCTTAGATACAGTAATGTTTATATACTGTCAGACTAGGATTCTGTAAAAACAAGGAAATCTTCAACAAATAAATATTCTCACTGATGAAATAAATTAAAATCTTCTAGATTGTTTTCTCAGGAAATATTTTGGGCAGAAACTACTTAAACTTGGTAAGTTGATTGAAAATTGTTTGTGAAAGAATAGTAAATTTAACCTAATGTAAGATTGTATATAACAAAGATTCTTGTTGGTGAGATTGTCATGAAATCTATCAGTTTATAAAAATCCCAAAATACTTGCCGACTATCCAACAGTATATAGTTTTACTCTGCTTTTCATTCATTCTTTGTCGTATATTAAAGCTTGGCTTAAATAGTTCACTAATTTCTTTCAGCATTATAGTACCGGTAATTTCTGCATGTACTTTAAAATCAGTTGAAGAAAATATAATATCTTCTAGTATTTTTCGAAGCTTCCAATCGCATCGACATTGTTCTAAAAAAGGGAAAAAACGTTTAACTGATTTTTAGTTCTAATATTTACACAATGTTTTGGGTAGTCTTAATTCTGATTGATTCAAATAGAGTGTAATATGTATAGTGGCAGTCTCTAGATTGAAAACTTGATTTCGTGTAAAAACATTAAGCAAAAAATACAGGAAATCTATGAAAAGAGAAATGTTGTACTAAACATGATAGATTACAGATATTGTTTTTTTTTCTTTAAAAGCAAGATATTACTTGGTTTTGATGGATTACAGTTTCATGCGAATTAATTTTGGTCATGTTTATTACCTTGTAGTATATAATATAGGTGGCTGTATTTTAATTAACATTCTATTATAATGTTTTTATTACATGTCAAGATCTACAATTAAATTTGAACATGTTGGATGCATTAATTGATAGTTGTTATTATGACTACAATATATATATGTAAACAATTACTTATTTCAATAAATCCTTCCTAGAGGAAAGTTTTTATATGATTTTCTTTCATCTTAAATTTTCTTACAAGATTGTCAATCGCAACATATTGGAAACATTTGACTCCAAAAATCATACCAGGTATTGTGATTCAGATAAACTGTAATAAACAATGTCAAAAAAAGTTTTTATCAGACCAAACCAAATTTAAGCAGACTTTGAAATGCGGTTTAGAACTCTGTAAATATATACATTGGAAATGTGGTATGATTGGCAATGAGACAAGTATCCACCAGTCAGAGACCAAATTCTGGTTCCATTCATTCCTTCAAATGAAACTGTCTATACCAGGTTTGGACGATTAGGAAAGATTTCCTCAAATCTTAAGCCAGTAATATAAGCTATTGGTTGTTAAATGAGTTTTGGTGAATGCTGTCCAGATCATGCCAACATTTTGATTCCAGACAAACATATTGTAATATATACTATTGACACAAGTCTTGTTCTGTAATATATTATTTGTCAATATTATACTACAATATGTTAGTTTTGCTTTTTTGTCAGAATTATTTAGTTCCAAACATTTTGAATCAGCTGCTTGAAACATACAATGTATGTTATCATAGATGAAATAGACCAATCTTAACAAGGTCCAAATGGGAAAGACAGTTTATTAGGATTAAGAGAAGAGGATCAAATTTATGAATTATGCAGTAAAGTAATGCACAGTTATTGTTGCATAAGATCTTTTTTGTTTTTCTTTTAATAACAACCAAACTCTCCTAAATTATCAGATTATAAAATCCACAACTCAATAAAAAAACTTTTTATTTTGGAGTCAAAAGGTCAAGGTCCCAGTGCCTTATTTTGGAAAGGTTTTTTTTTCTGGATTTTTTTTAGCTGTAAGTGGGATTTTTACTAATCTTTGGTGGATAATGTGCATTTTTTTTTTGGTGGGGGGGGGGGGGGGAGATTGCTGTTGATTTTAAATTCACTTGGTTTTGGAAAGAGGTCATAGTCACAGCAGCAATTACTAGTAAAAGATTGAAATATTTGGTAAAATTTTGATTTTTCATTTATTCAAACTTAAAGTCCTCATCAAGAACCCTCCCCCTCTAAAAAAAAAACATATTAGTTTAAATATTTATTGCAAAATTACACCCATAAGAGTCAAGCAATACAAACAAACAATGATACAATTAAATACAATACAATGCAATACAATACAATAGAACATATTTTTAAGAAAGAGTTGAATTTACAAATTTGTATAAAAATACACAATCATAAACTTGTCTGACATGGATCTGACCCACTCAGTTCTAAAGACTGCTTAATGAAGACCCCAATATGACACAAGTTTAGGGTTGGGGTTTTCTTAATAAAAAACAAAACCAACAGGACTTGGCTAATACATCCACAGTGCCTCTGTAAGGTTTAGAATATTCTAACAACCAGTAATATGTAAGTTTGTTTCGTGGACTACATATAATTCTGTGAACTGCATTTAATTCCCTAACCTTTCCTGTAATCTGTGTTCCATAGAACCCAAAGTAATTGTTCCTTTGGGAATAATAAACACTCATTTTATAACATTACCCTGTACAATATAGATAAAAACATAACCACCTATTTGCCTAACACATTTATTGAGTTATAAAATCAGTCACTATCACATTATAATATAGGAAGACGTTTCTAATCAATGCAACAGAAACTGGTGAATGCTTGGAAGGAGTCATTGATTAAACAGTTACTAATTAATACTTTGACTTCATTAATACACTATAGATCAATGCACTTTCTTGGTGCATTAAAGAACACTTGTAGTTTAATTAAGAAGATTATATACCTGAAAAAAACCATGTGTGTAGATGTTATTAAATGGGGAGAACTTCTCAGGAAAGTGGTATTTGAGGTGAAATATGACCTTGGGATAAAGGAGGTGTTGAGGGGAAATATGACATAATCTTGGGATAAAGGAGGTGTTGGGGGAAATATGACATAATCTTGGGATAGAGGAGATGTTAGGGGAGATATGATATATAACCTTAGGATAAAGGAGATGGTAGGGGAAATATGACATAACCTTGGGATAAAGGAGATGTTAGGGGAAATATTACATAAACTTGGGATAAAGGAGATGTTAGGGGAAATATGACATAATCTTGGGATAAAGGAGGTGTTGGGGGAAATATGACATAATCTTTGGATAAAGGAGGTGTTAAGGGGATATATGACATAATCTTGGGATTGAAGAGATGTTAGGGGAAATATGACATAACCTTGGGATAAAGGAGATGTTAGGGGAAATATGACATAACCTTGGGATAAAGGAGGTGTTAGGGGAAATATGACATAATCTTGGAATAAAGGAGGTGTTAGGGGAAATATGACATAACCTTGGGATAAAGGAGATGTTAGGGGAAATATGAGATAACCTTGGGATAAAGGAGGTGTTGAGCGGAAGTATTACATAATCTTGGGATAAAGGAGGTGTTGGGGGAAATATGACATAATCTTTGGATAAAGGAGGTGTTGAGGGGAAATATGACATAATCTTGGGATTGAAGAGATGTTAGGGGAGATATGACATATAACATTGGGATAAAGGAGATGTTAGGGGAAATATGACATAATCTTGGGATAAAAGAGGTGTTAGGGGAAATACTACATAACCTTGGGATAAAGGAGGTGTTAGGGGAAATATGACATAATCTTGGGATAGAAGAGATGTTAGGGGAGATATGACATATAACATTGGGATAAAGGAGGTGTTAGGGGAAATATGACATAATATTTGGATAAAGGAGGTGTTGAGGGGAAATATGACATAATCTTGGGATAAAGGAGATGTTAAGGGAAATATGACATAATCTTGGGATAAAGGAGGTGTTGAGGAAATATGACATAACCTTGGGATAAAGGAGATGTTAGGGGAAATATGACATAATCTTGGGATAGAAGAGATGTTAGGGGAGCTATGACATATAACATTGGGATAAAGGAGATGTTAGGGGAAATATGACATAATTTTGGGATAAAGGAGGTGTTTATGGGGAAATATGACATAATCTTGGAATAAATGAGGTGTTATGGGAAATATGACATAATCTTGGGATAAAGGAGGTGTTAGGGGAAATATGACATATCCTTGGGATAAAGGAGGTGTTGAGGGGAAATATGACATATCCTTTGGATAAAGGAGGTGTTGAGGAAATATGACATAATCGGGATAAAGGAGGTGTTGTTGGGGAAATATGACATAATCTTTGGATAAAGGAGGTGTTGAGGGGAAATATGACATAATCTTTGGATAAAAGAGGTGTTTATGGGGAAATATGACATAATTTTGGAATAAAGGAGGTTTTGAGGAGAAATATGACATAACCTTGGGATAAAGGAGGTATTACGGGGGTCTGATCCTGGATCCTGATTATCATTGTAAAATTAGAGCTTGTAATTTCACATGTCCCGTCTGACTTCGTTTCCCATTTTCAAGCAAAATAATTTGACTTTCACGTGTCATGTTTACAAAAATTGGCCAATCCTGCATCACTCTTAGACCCCAATGAAGCCCACTGTTAGGGGAAATATGACATAACGTTGGGGTAAAGGCATTGTTTTAGGGGAAATATGACATAACCTTGGGACAAAGGAGGTGCTGAGATTACATATGAAATAGATTAACTAAAGAGAAAGGAGGTGTTGAAATGAACAAAAGAAAAAGGAGGTGTTGAAATGAACAATCTATGGAGAAAGGAGATATTGAGGAGATATGAAATTCTGTAAATTCAGAAATTATTGCGTGCATTTATTATTGCGATTTTGTTAATTTAGACTAAAATGCGTTTTAATTTTTGTGATATTGAGAAAAATCCTGTTAATTCATATAAAAAATTTCAAAATGCGAGTTTAAATTATTGGGATTATAACCCTGTCGCATTTTTCGCAATAATAAAAACATCGCAATAATTTCTGAATTTACAGTAGATAAACCAAGGGAGAAGGTAGACACTGAGGTAGAATTTGAAATATTTTTTTGACACTAATTTATGATTGATAAAAGTAAACTTCACATTTGTTACTCCATGTTTATGAATGGGATGTTTTTTTCATGCAAGTTTCTGTTATGTTTCTCATGGCTCAATGTATATTGTCAGATGATATTGGTATATTGCAAAGTAAAGAATATGTTTTTATAAACTCATGAACTTCACTTATATTGTTACACATGCAATAGCTCTCAAATAATTTTAGGATAGATTTAAAAATTTATAAAATGTTGGCAAATTTTGCATTTCCTGGGGACATTGTGTCTGTGACAAACATGCAGGAGCTCATGTGTTAACATTTTGTCTCCCTGAAATCCCAGCTTAAGATGTATGATTGAGAAATTGTGTCTAATAACCTTAATGTCAGCAGAGAAAATTAGGAGTCTTTGTCTTTTCTTCCAGAAAATGTTCTAATCTCCAATCAGACAGATAAGCAGTTGTCAAGTAGCATTTCATAGACACAATGACTAATGAAATAAATTACATTGTTGATTTCATGAGGCAGTCAATGTTTATTTCAGATTTTACACAAGATACATCTGTATATAGAAACACTTAATGAAACCTTTGCCGAAAATAGATTGAAGATCTTTGAGTAGAACTGAGTGATTACAGATCCTTATATAGTGTTTATTAAGGTCACAAATGGTTTCAAATTATCAAGAAGGGAATCATGGTTAATTAAATTTACATCTGATTAAAGAACAAAACAGGATGATTTCCTTTGTCTAAATGAAGAAAATAAGCAGGAATGGTACACAATGTATATGGTCCACTGCATTTAAAAAAAATCTGTAGACTTTTATAAGATTTACCAGGCATTGGTTTACTGTCTTCAAATGTTTTTAAATCTGCACACTGACTTTCGTATATTGCTATAATAAAACTTTTGATGTGTGATATTTATCCTATCTATTTCAAAATTATATAAAAATGCCTACAGACTTTGTAGAGAGTATATAAATTCATCAATTGATTGACTTTGACATATCTATGACTATATGTTGTGTATAGCCCAATAAAAGTCTGTTAAGATGGCACTCTATTGATATTAAATAAGAAAAAGTTATTTTATATTTTTAAAGTTCAAATTGACTTTGTCCTTAGATCAGTAATGCAGATCAATCATCATTCATTGCTGACCTCTGTAGTGAGATTTGACCTGTGTGTACTGGGTAAGATGATATGATGGATGGGGGACTGTGATTATTACTGATGAGTTTCCATATTGGCAATAATTTACCAATTAATATTTGTGAAGCATGTTTTACATGATTTCTTACATGTCAGAATTTGTAGTTGTTAAGATTGAACAAGATAATGATCAACTGTTTATATTCATTATTGAATACATACTGAGATAGTATAATTATTTACATGGTCATCAAATGCAAGTTTGTGTTCAAAATGTTACAGCTGCTTGACCCTTAAAGCAGAGACATGTAGCGCACAAGATTGGAAACAAGACGAAATTTTGTGATATCCATCACACAGCCCTCATGATTTCATTGAATAGGTTAAAGTACAATATAAAATTCTATTTTCTAAAAAAATCACAAAAAAATATTTAATTAATACCTGCAATACCCTATCAAGAAATCTTTATGATTTCCATGTTTTAAAGCATTTTATCACTATTTTGTGTATTTTTCATTTGATCTTTTTTTGTGATAATTTTTCACATCATGCTACTTGCTTGAGATAGAAAATCATGGTTAGAAACTAAGGGAGCAGGTGCTGTTGTCAATGAATAAGAATAAGAATATTTATTATTCCAATCAAGGGCCCTTGATGGGCAGCATAACATGTACACATAAAACAATACATCATGATTTGTAACAGAAAAACATTTTTATATATTAAAATGAAACATTAAAAAGTTCAGACAGATGTTATTATCTTCATTCTATAAAAATCACATACATTTAATTCCAGGCAGGATCAGAACTATAAAATCACTACAATTATCATTGTTATTACATACATTAATTAACATTTAGTCTAACATCTAGACATGTAATAATATAGCTCCCTAAATATTTAAGTATAGACAAATTTTCATTAGTAAATAACCAAACAAATTTTGCCTCATTTGAAAGATATATAAAATTGGGACAGATACAGTTTATCTCCTTGAAAAATATCTCCCTATCATTATTGTATGCTGGACAACTAGTAATAAAATGTTGTTCATCTTCAACCAGATTTAGAGTACATTTCTTACAAAGCCTTTGGTCTCTTTCTATATATAAAGTTTTATACCTGTCTCTTTCTATTTTGAGATCATGTGCACTGATTCTGATTTTACATATGGCACTTCTCAATTGAAAATTGTTTAAAGATAGATGCATTTCTTTCGAAAAACAAGTTTTAAGTTTGAAATAAGTATCTAATTTACTACTCTTTGTATCTCTTCTTTTTGTGTTCCAAAATTTTACAAAACTATTACAAAGTTTTTGCTTAACTGACTTGATAAAAAAGTTGAGCTTTACCTCCAAATTATGAATATTCAGCTTTTTAAAAATGTAATGTATGGATGAATACCAGCATTCAATATTATTATTAAACATGTTTTTGTTACACATATAGGTATCATACAGTAAACCATCTTTCATATTTTTTATTCTAAACCAATATTTCAGCATTGATAATACAACTGAAAAATATAAAGGGAATCTACCAAGCTCTCCTTGCACAGCTAGGTTAGAAGACTTTTTGTTTACACCTAATATATACTTCATATATCTTAAATTGGATTTATCTAAAAAAATCATTCATATAAATGTGCTGTAATAAATATTCACTTTCTTTCTGGCATGCTGCAGAGCTAGTTTTAAACATACCTGTAATTTCACTGCCATACATTAAAATGGGTTTTATTGTATGGTCATATATATGTAATAGAGTAGAAATACTTGGATTGGAAGATGATAAAGATCTTTGCAATTTGAATACAGCTTTTAGTGATTTTTTGTATAATTCTTCCTTTCCTTGCTTAAAAAGTCCACTAGATATAAATTTTAAACCTAAATACTTATAATTGTTAACACAATGTAAACATCAATGACGTCATAATGCAAACTAGCAATAAATAGATTATCAATGGTCTTTCAAACTCAAGGATGTTCTCTGCCACATCTCTTCTGAGAGCTTCACCCTTCAATGAGATTGTAGCTAAGAAACACCCTCTCGTTTGAAATACCATCCATTATCTGTAATTATTTATACCATAAAAAACAAAAAAGAATATCAACCATAGCAACACCACCCCTTTTTCTGTGACTTCGAGAAATTTTCAATACCTTGATGTCAATTTTTGGCTTTTATTGTCCATAAAATCTTCAATTTAAAAGATAATATTTTCAAACCTTTGTATCATATTTGGAAAAAATATGAGAGAAGCAATATGTCTGTATGTGAAAAAGTAGTTTGAAAAGTAAATAAAAGAGTGATATAATTTACTGTAAATTCAGAAATTATTTCAAGTTTTTTATTAATGAGAATAATGCGACTGGGTGAGAATCACAATAATAAGAACTCACATTATGATATCTGATACATATATCTGTATGTAGAAATCGCTATAATTAATCTGACATTTGTGTCCATTCTTCAAAAATCGCAATGATAAATGCATGCAATAATTCCTGAATTTACAGTATTTAGATTATAATCATATGGTCATTAAATGGAGTTGCCAAAAAGTTTACAATTGCTTACCCTGCATTTTGACTGTTTGATGAAGTAGATTTAAAGAAGAAAAGGCAAATTCTGTAAATTATGAGGAATAAAAGATATGTGGGGTAAATTTGATGAGAAAGCAATTAACAATGCATGTTAGTCAAAATTGATGTATAAAAAGGTGTGGTCTCAAACGAGGCATACCTTAACATTGTATGGATCTTCTTTTTAGACTGAGGAGCCAACTTAAGTCCTTGATTATCTTACTTTCACTGAATTGAGGAATTTTTAATTTTTTTTATGTGAGATCAATATATTGATTGTCAAAGAAAGTGTATACATGCTGCCACTAGATAATGTCATATATATTTCTGTGTGTCCTGGACACTTACCTTCAGATTTAATTATGTTTTTTTCTTAGGAAAC